CTCACGTATTTGAATTCACCTTAATTAAAGAGTTTTTTAACACCATATTTTACAAAATAAAAAGATCGATCTTCAGTATTGTAGTTGTAGGAAAACGCCGAAAGAAAATTCTTCCTGTTGAATTTTTCGAAAAGCCTGGGATTTCAACAATGCAACCTATGGCCATTCTTTCAAACGACTATAACATTGAGTACAAAGATTATTTTAAAGAATTGGGGTCATTTTTGAGAAATTTTTGAATTTTGTTAATGTAAAGAACCACCAAACATTAAAATACCTGTTTCAAACTCACAGGAATTCAGTTAAATCAGTTGAGGAATGTCAATTGAAGGAGAAAATCTGCCGTAAGGTTTAGGTTCTATACTTGGATGTATATTATCGTGCACTTGACGTAAATCACCTGTTCACGATGTCATCCATTCGAGAAATTCAACATCTCCGTCGTCTTCTTTCGAGGCGAGGTGAAAAAGTGAAACTAGTGTTGCTACAACAGCACATACGTTTTTCGCATTGTTTCTAAATTTGCATTTTTCGAAACTCAAAGAGTTCAATGAAAATGAGACCCACGTCATTCTTTTAAGCATCCCTTCATCTGTACACAAAAAACATTAAAGACAAATTTTTGAGGGTTTTTGAGACAAACATGTTAATTGTCGGCTAGCGGGAGTTTCCCTAACCAGATATCTCCCACCAGTGCGGCACCGCTCCAGCCGGGACAAGCTCTTAGCTCCTAAAATCGTAAAACGCTTTTAAAACCGGTCCAGGGAAATGGCAACTCGTTTCATAAAACGTTTAGCTTAAACCTGTGATAATGTGTCTTAGTAACTTATGATATGTGCGCTTTCTTTCGTATTGCACAGAGGAAAGAATTAATTTCTGGATTACGCAAATAACGGCTCCATGCTTGGCGCTCTTTGACGCACTACGCACGATTCGAAAGTATCTAAATTTTAACCTGTCGTTCAGAAGCAAGACTTTGCGTTTGTCTATCCAAGCTAGAATTATCTAGTTTGAGTGCACGTAGTGATGAGAGATTCTACTCTTGAGATATGTAATCCGTTAAATTTGAGCTCATCAGGAGATAAAATGCTTGAAAGTGCGTAACATTTGCAGAATTTTTTGCGTCACCTTATTATACATGAACTGCGTTTATACTGGAAAACTATAGTATACGAATTATACAGTAGCGCAGCTCCGTGTTACACGCCCTCTGACGACGTATTGGTCAGCGACACTAGCGATCCGCGAGGCGATAAAGGATTACTACGCCGCCGTACAATTCGTAATACAGAATCGTTCTGCTAAATGTAACCAAAAAGTTATTGTGTTTTAATATATTTTAATTTCCTTATCCATTTAACTAAAACATGTGGATTAGAATGTTTTAACAATTCTAAGGAAGGAAATGTCTTAAATCTAATGAATATTATCCTTTGAAAGTGAATGGTGGAATCGTAGGGAAGAACAAGTATTTCTGTACTTTTCATGAAAATATGCAGAAATGAAGTACTCTTAAGTAGTAAATAAGTGTATCTAGGAGGAAAAAAACAACAAATTTTCATCTTTCATTTCTACGGCTATGGGATAAGTAAATAACAACATAACAAGGGAGAAGATTGCAGGATTCTTTCCTGCATTAATGCTGCATTTATTTACAGAACAGTGCTCCCCTTTCGACACACGCATTGTTATTAATGTGTTAACTGGAAAAGTATACGATATCACTTGTATAACAAATGTGTTTTCATATACGTCAAATGTGGGGTTAAAACTACAGTTTTACGTATTTTTAGGTGTTAATTAATGACTTGCCTTTGAAACCGTAGGAATAAATAACAGCAAGGTCAATAACCAACACCATTTATTTTTAAAGTTTTTACCCAGCTCTTAATAAAGCAATTTCACAAAATATCCGAATTATTCAGAAGAATCTAACTGTAGATTTACATTACCTCCACCAGGATCGCTAGCTGCACGCGCACGCATCCTTATCTAGTCAAAACACGGGCTGAGCTGCTGTACTGATTCGTATTCTGTGGTAAAACTTAGTATTAAGCAAGTCTTGGATATGATGTTAATACCGTGTATTCTTTTGTTGCAGCTCTGAATATTTTCATTATAAAAGCTATCTGCGCTTACGAGAGATGGCTGGTAAGTGAAACGAAGGGGGAATTGTTGAAGAATACCGAATCAGGGAGTCATCATGAGTCACATAAACGACTCTCATCAGAAAGCCTTCACACTTCGCAAATGCGTGAATCTGCGACTATACATGAAGAGAAGACTTCTGATGAAGCTGGACAGTAGATGATTCGTGTGTGCCTTGAGATCAGTGACGTCACAAAATGAAATGTATGGACCGCAGCATGAGAATTTTGTTTTCCAAGCGGTGATTTCTAAATAACTTTATTGCGGTTAACGCCTTGCACCCTACTAAAATTTATCGCTTGAATAACTTAATAATGCATTATTGAATGAAGTATGACACAAGTATTCAAACAAAGAAGATCATTGTGGTGAAACGCTCCCAGGCGGGAAAGGTGTGTGTACCATGCTTATTGTTGTGAGCCTTACGTCCAGAAGAAGGCTCGCACTTAGGGTTTGTCTCCTGTGCCGGCGTGTTTTGCCATGCACGTGCAGAATTTCGTCATGGAAAATGAAGCTCACGAGGACAGATCTGGATGTTTCGTGTAGGATCCCTCACTTGGATTTCTCGCCTCGTGGCACAGTGACTGAACCGCGAAGGAGGTAGCTGATCCACATGACATGAGTGAGGTGGCTGATCCACATGGCATGAGTGAGGTGGCTGATCCACATGGCATGAGTGAGGTGGCTGATCCACATGACATGAGTGAGGTGGCTGATCCACATGACATGATGACGTGGCTATCACAGACATGCAGTGAGTGCGATCCATCTCGCGAAATCGTAACTTTTAATGACACTCGCAAAATCCTAAAAGAGTTGGATACTGGAAACAAAATTGGTTGCAGGTGAACTCAATTTACTGAAAAACAAGTCGATAGCATCACATGACAAAGGAGTAAAAATTTGTTTCTAGAATCCAACTGTTGCAGTATTTTGTGAGTAACATTAAAAATGAGGTATTACCATTCGTGAGATGTTAAAGTTATCCGTATCAGCGGGAGGGCCAGGAGTCAAATTAAATAGCGGGTAAGATCTGAGCGGCTTTCACGTTTACGCAGAAAAATGTATGGAAACAAAACGAAACATTTCGTTTTTGTACTCTCGCAGAAAAATTATTTACGCGCGAAAGTCCTTTTTTGCTAGAGGTTACAAAAAATGTTTCTGTGCGAATTTAATTTTGTTACCGATGGCCAAAATTTGTCAAATTCGTTTCTTTCCTGTACGGAAACGAAATGAAAGCATATTTCCTTTTAATGGATAAGAAATGCTACTTTCCTATTTAGTTAAGTTGTTAATATTTATCCAAAAACTAAACAACTTAATAAACAAAATTTACCGAAGTGTGTTTGTGTATTCCTGATGAAAGTGTTGTCACTAAAGAAAACGGGTTGCAATGAACTAATGTGAAGAAACTGTTCGAAATGGCGACTGAATTTGTGTCAGTAGAACGATTTCTGCCTTCCTGAGACTGAGATTTGCGAAGAAGAAAATGTGCTATAATAATATAATGCTAGATGCTATTAATATTTCCTTGTGTTTTTCACGGGAGTGAGAGTACAGTGTCTACACTGTACCCTCCCATGCTTCGCCATTGGAAGTGGTGTTCAACATATTGCGGCTGTGAAGTTTTATAGTATTAATATTGAGTTATTTGAAAGTAATAGTAAGTTAATTTGGGTACATCAAAACTTAAGTTACCAATTTGAACTATATTAACAGTACGTATGTGCCACACCAGTTATATTGTTGCTGTGATATCTGAAAATGCCTGAAGAAAAATTGTACAACTTCACTGTTCCAGAAATACAGGAGTACGTACTGAAGTGCATGGAGGATACATGAGAAATCATGAGCAATAGCGTTGCAGAAACGTGAGCAAGAAACGTGAAACACTTCATGCGAATACCCCATTTATTATAGCAGCATCCTCCACTCATACCTTGATGGATAATGGGAATGCAATAAATAAAAAAGTCATACAGATTTTTATTTCAAAAATTTAGATCGATAGAACGTCTAATTATTTCCCAATCAATATTACTTTTGTTTTCTAAAATACGATTTACCAGTTGCTCTACTTTGTTTCCTTGTTGATGCATTTACAACGAACAACACAGTGAAAGAGAAATTTCATTTAGTTAAAAAATCGACTTGGAACAATCTGGTTTTCGTCCAATGATCTTTAAATATTTCTAGAACGATAATGTTTGTTTAAAAACGTCAATGTTCAACGTGAACTGCAATTTTAATCCATCTGTACATAAGGACAGAGTGTTGAAAGACGTCAGTTAATCAGAAGCGTGCTCACGCACCTAAGTGGCCACCATCTGTCGAGCAACCCTTTCCCTCTTCTCAGATATTCCAAATCACCAAGTCCATTATAGTTCTAATTAATATCGTTCAAAATTTGTTGACCGATGGCTTGGAGAATTCCGGGTAGAGTGGGGGTATTAGTTAACAATCGACCTTAAGAGTTTTTGATGCAATGCTTTCGTCTACAAAATCGAAGTCCAACTTAAATTTTAGTATAATACGGCTGATGAATTCGTTGATCTGAGAAGGAAACAAAATTCGATTGCGTAAAGTGATGAATCTTGTTTTATTTTAATGAAGTCCTTCTTATCAACCGTGTCAGTCACAGTATTAACTAACCAGACCAATTTTTAAAAATTAAAAAAATATAAATCCTCTATTCACTGAAAGAGCTGAGGACAGGTCCTGGAAACGTGTAAAAAATATAGTTTCATAGAGTTCTATATATTGGTCTCTTTTGATGTTACATTTTTATCAGATGTTTACAGGAAATTTCAATGATTTATAATTCTGAATATTTTTTTAAATATTTATTTTAGATAGAATAGCAAGGACATCAGAGACCACGTATTCTTTGTTTGTTTTTCATTTTCGTGTTTACAACAGTTTAGACTTAGGGTAATATATTTAATCCCAATTTATTAATTTTGAGTAGCGTTATAACGGTTTTTCAATCTTCAACTGAGTTAAAATATCTTATACATATCTTTATTCAGATTTAATTGATGTCTTTTGTTTGCTAGACCTGGGCATTCTAGAATGAGGTGTGAGATCGAAATGTTATTTTCACACTTTTTTAGTCTTTATTCTTCGTATCGTCGAAATACTTGCCCCAATGTAAGCAGAAGTTCGATCCATTTCTCTGAGGATGCGTAAGAATTTTGTTCCCTTTTCCCAAGTAGCTTGCTTTCGGAACTTTCTCAATAATTTTGCGTTTGCCCCTATTATAAGTTCTCCTAAAATTCTACAGTTAAGTGAGATTCTGAGTAGTCTCCTGCGAAAAACGTCGAAAGCCTCATCCATTTCTTTAGATTTTTTGAGAAAAAAAAACGCGAACAGAAATAGCTTCTATTTCACTCCAAAGATAACTTCTATTAACTTCTAATAGCTTGTATTTCTCTCCAAAGATCTGTGAATTTGTAATGCAGTCATCAGTGCTTGCTACAAGCAATGTTGGACTGTTTATTGCTCTTCGGAAGGGGAAGTTAGGTTATCGATCAAGAAAAGATCCGCATGTAATATTTACTAATTTTGTATAACATTTTTTTTTTAAATTGTAATTGGACTATAGACATAAGTCGTGTTGAGAAATCCGGGTGCCAGATATACGTATAGCTTTCCACGTCTCCAAAAAGGATTAAAAAAAACAATTCGTTATAAAAACACTTTAGTTTTATACTACAATGAAAATAAATGTACAGAATTAAATTTAAAGAAAAACAAATTGAAAAGGGAGTGCTGGCTATGTGTAAAAAAGAAAAGCAACAAACAACTCACGCAAATGATTAAATAATTATTAAATGTGTTATTTGTTCAGATAAAAATATACTGAAATGATGTATCCAATTTGTACATCTAAATTGTTTAAAAATAAACCATTTTGTACTAACCATTAACATTTTAAAAAAGTGTTGCAAATGCTAAGCGATGTAAATAATGGCCAATTCTGTCATTCTCCATCCATTAAAACTAAGTTTTCATAATAGATACTGTAATTGAGAAAAAAATGTATACTTTTACATTTTTACACGAATGTAAATCTTCACCAAAAATTCTTGATATTACGTCACCATCGGAATTTAATTTAGTATACATCTAACATTCTATTCAGTCACAAAATTCACCCGAATTGAAATTATATTTTATTGCATAATATTACGTTTCAAGTATGCGTACTTAAGGAAATAATTTATTTTGTAGTCACTTCTAACAATACCAAACGACACTTTCGAGATTTCCATCCTAACAGACTTAGCATAGTAGTAAATTGTAAAAGTCAATAACTGAGAAATTCAGTTTTTGCACGCAAACACCTCCACTGATCAAATAGAACACAATCTGCGAAACAATTCTTCACCTGCTTTCAACATTGCCAATATAATTTTGAAATTCTATTCTTAAGTCTCCGATTTACACTATAAAAGATTTAACATCCAATATAGCTTTCAAGCTTAAAACAAATAAGTTTTCACAAACTGTATGGATAAATAAAACATTACAATAATGATTGTGTAGAAATGACTGTGTATGATTGTGTACCAAAGTTACTAAAAACTAAGTTACTAAAAATTGAAATTCCATCCTCCCCAGCACCTATATTAGCACACTAATTGTTTTGAGTGCATTATAAAATTGTAAAATTCAATAATTGACAAGATCTATTTTAAAACAATGAAGTATTATTTTGTACTAGTAAAACATTCTAATAAATAATTTTCTACCAACTTGTAGCATTACTCAAATAATTTTGAATATTTCGTCCTTCCCAATCCCGCGATCAGCAACCAAATATATTTTTGGATAGTTAATAGACAACTTACAATTTTTAATAATTGAAAGGGAATATTTTATGGATTTTATCGTTGTATATTAAGTGAAATAATCTATATCAATAAATTATTTTGTGACAACTTTAGCTTTATTTAAAAAAATGGAAATTGCTAGTTACTAGTTAAACAACCTAACATATTTAACGTAAATTCTAGCATTATAAAATTCAATAATTAAGACGAAGTACATTTGTACAATGAAATATCTTCGCTGAATCAATAAGACATCGCAATAAATAATAATGTAAATAAACGAATGAAAAACGTCATTCATTGAAATAGTAAGAACTCGTGAAATAATTGCCAGTTTAACATTTTATGAACATGTTTTTAAAAATAAATAAAATAAGCCGGCGCACTTTCAACACGCATAACATCTTACGCGTAACGCCCTGTACCATCGCGGATAACACACAAACTTCATCTCGGCCTCTTAAAACCCGAATGTTAATGCCACTTGTGATATCGAAGGGTGCAGAAATCAGTAGAGTTTGCATACTAGTCGCATTCGCCCCAAACCTCTTGAGTTTAACGGCGGCACTCACGTCGAAAGCTTCAAGCTAGAGGCAGTAAGCAATGCTAATCCCCTGATTGCCGGGCTTGCCTGGTAACCCACCAGTCGGGCGCGTCGACCAGTTGGGCAGGTTCGGGTGAAGGAGATTCCTTGGAATGCTCTGGAATCCATACAGAGAAGCCTGATACCACCCATCAGGTTGTTCAGGTTCTGGCGATACTCACGTCAATAGCCTAAAGCAGTGAGAGATGGGAAGGGGGTTCCGAGCCGCCGGAACCTTAGTTCGTTTGCCGTGATGGCAAACCGTTCCGACGAGAGGCGATACCTAGAGGCGTACTTGTGTGCCGTCGGGGGGTTAGGGTAAAAGCGGAAAGATTAGGGACCGACCCATGGGAACCTGTAGCCCCTGGCAGAACAAGAATTTGCGGGGAGTAAACATCTGTGCGTCCACGGGGGTAGTTGCAAAGGTTGAGGTTCTAAGTGGATAGCTTTAAGGTGGAGGCAGTAAGGAGATGGTTCGCCACCAACCTTTGAGCAGGAATGGGTGTGGGATTCGTTAGGCAGTATTGTCTGGGTAGCTGGCACCGAATTTGAACCCCATGTATAAAAGTCCTTTGGGGAGCGTGAATGTCCGGTTGCGTAGATTCCGATGGCACTCACGTCGATAGCTTTAAGGTGGAGGCAGGAAGGAGATGGTTCGCCACCAACCTTTGAGCAGGGATGGGTGTGGTTTTCGTTAGGCAGTATCCTCTGGGCAGCTGGCACCGAATTTGAACCCCATGTATAAAAGTCCGTCGGGGAGCGTGAATGTTCCGGTGGCACTCACGTCGATAGCTTCAAAGTGAAGGCGATGAGACGTCGCGTTAGGGGCCCCGAGCCATCCGGGCGTTGGTCCGGGTTGCCCGCAGTTGGGAACTTGGCTTCGTCGTGGCAGTGGCTCGATTCTCTGGGCAAAGAGGTGGGACGGACTTGTCCCGGTGCCCGGCAGAATGGCCCGATCAAAGATAGATGTTCCCAAGGAAGGTAACTGCGTTCTGACGGGATCCAGATACCAGATTGTCGGCGTACTTGTGCGCCGACGGAGTGGGCGGATAAAGGCGAAAGCTTAGATCCTCACTCTGGGGAGCAATCCTATTGGTGGAACAAGTAATTGTGAGAACTGGTAGACCACACAGGTCATGTTAACCCCTGTCCAAGGAGGCCGACACAATTCAGTTCAGTTCAGTTGAGATTTTGATCCGAAGTGTGGAGCCGGTACTAAACTATTTTACCTTTTAAAGAAGTGATTTACGAATTTCGGAATGATCTTACAGGTACAGATAGTAATTCCGTAATAATATTAATAATCGTTTCCCTTTTAGGCATACATGACATACAGAAAGTCCCACTAACTATGGGACATCCTATAGCTTCTAAATGGTTCCCGATATCGAAATGTAGTTTTTGCTCAACAATGCGGAATCATGGGGGAAGTAATACGCTGTAGAGATATTGTTGGTTATACTTTTAGTTTTCAAGAAATTTAATCATCTTCGATTTTTTTTAAATGGAACTATATTTCTTCTCACTTACAATATATTATAAAAAGAGGAGTGCAATAGTGTAAGATATGTTAATGTTTTGCGTGTAAAATTTGACTTTGATATGTGAATAAAACTTAAACGTACAATATTTTCTGTAGCAGCCCTTGCAACTGTTGCTTTTCAGAAAGGTGGCTTTCGTAGCCTCCCCTTTGTTGGCACCATCTTGCCCACAGGCAACAGTTGCAAGGGCTGCTGCAGCAAATATTGTACGTTTCATTTAAAATCGCCCATCCGAAAGTCTACTTATACACTCAAATTAGTATCAAAATATTAACATACATGTCATTTTATTCCTCTTTTTATGATTATCAATTGCTGGCGAGAATATATATAATTCCATTTAAAATATATAATATTAAATTTATTGAAAACTAAAAATATTTCAAACCCTTTCTCTACACCATATCGCTTGCCCCGAAAACTGCATTTCGATATCGTGAACCATTTAGAAGTTACGGGTGTGGCCTATTGTCATTATAATACTTTTATAGGCATATATGTAATATAATATGACGAGTTTTACGCAAAACTAATATTTTTATTAATTACAATATGCCATTCTCACTGACCTATGAAACATAATGCTATCGTACCCCCCTCTCGTTTACTTATCTCGCTTCGTCAGAATCAATATCTTATGATAAGGAATCAGACCCGAAATTCCTTTTACAAACATACTCGGACTTTTCTTATCAAACATATCTCGTATGAATCATAGCTCTCAGAGAGAATTTTAAATATTTTCGTTTCTATGTCATCTGGCCTGTACTTAAAGATTTACATGATATTTCACCAGTTGGAATTTTTGACGTAACACTATAACAGTCAAGTAACCCTCGTATGTTTCTACTAAACATACATATAATCTAATGCAATAGGACTGTTTGATTTCATATTCTCAGGAACGGCACCTGGTATGATACTTAGTAACGTAAGTGCGGTGCACTCACGCTAGATTGTGAGATCAGGT